CGCCCTCGTTCTCACGAGTTTGCTATCCGATCCCTTTGAGCCACTCGAATCAGTATCTCTAAGATTTCTGTCCCTGAAGACAGCTCTGCTGGTTGCGTTGGCCTCCATCAAGAGGGTCGGGGACCTGGAGGCATTTTCGGTCAGTGACTCGTGCCTGGAATTCGGGCCAAATTACTCTCACGTCATCCTGAGACCCCGCCCCGGTTATGTGCCCAAGGTTCCTACCACCCCCTTTAGAGATCAGGTAGTGAACCTGCAAGCGCTGCCCCCGGAGGAGGCAGACCCAGTCCTTTCTTTACTTTGTCCAGTTCGCGCTCTGCGCATTTATGTGGACCGTACTCAGAATTTTAGATCATCTGAGCAGCTCTTTGTCTGTTATGGTGGTCGGCAGCAGGGGAGTGCCGTATCGAAACAAAGATTATCCCACTGGATTGTGGATGCCATTTCACTCGCTTATTCGAGTGGAGGTCAACCGTGTCCCCCGGGAGTACGTGCACACTCCACTCGGAGCGTTGCATCCTCTTGGGCGCGTGCACGCAGCGCCTCTCTAACAGACATCTGTAGAGCTGCGGGCTGGGCGACACCCAACACATTTGCAAGGTTTTACAATCTGCGAGTGGAGCCGGTTTCCTCAAGGGTATTAGGTAACCCTTTGGTGATTGAGGAAACAACTCGGTGGGGTGTTGAAACACGCTTGCTGCGCCATTTTCCCTAACACGGAGGTACGTGCGCCTTTTTATCTGTCAGTAAAGTTCCCCGTCAGGTGAGCCCTGCAGATTCCTCCGTGGCCCCCAGCACTGACTCAGCGGAGGAGTCACTTGCTGGCCCACTACGTTGTAGGTCTGCCCGCTGGTCAGCCCGCGTTTTGGGTATAGGTGCCTGCTATGCGTGATCCCCACTAGGCGATCCCATATGCTTATTCCGCCACGGTTAAGTCCCCCTCCTGGGCGGACCCGTGTCTTCCCTCTCCGCTAACCACTCTTTTGCTATGCGTACTCCCCCTTTTTAGGGCTAGTCCATATGTAAATTCTGCCATCTATCCCCCCCTTGGGTAACGTATGGCCTCCGCAGCATCCTCCCTATCGGCATTGCACGCTTCCCAACGTACTGTCGTATTTCCTAGAATTATCTAGATGCTCACGACTTCCCAAAAAATATATCTAAATCCGTAAAACTTCTGTTGAAGTAGGATAAATTAGGGCCAGGGACACATTGGAGGACCGCGCCTCCCATGATGTGGGTGGGTCACGCTTGCTTGACTATCCCCTCATCGGGGGCGTTGGTAAGGTGCAGTCATTATGGCGCTTTCCATACTTCTCCCATTCGTTCATTCAATTAATCCACTCTATGGCACTGAAGTTCCCCAACCGAAGGGGAACGTTCGAGGTTACAGAAGTAACCCTTCGTTCCCCAAGGAGGGGAACGGAAGTGCCATACTCCGTCGCCATAATGACTGTCCCTTAGCTGTTTGAAAGTCTCTTCAGCTTAAAGGATAGCGTCTGCTGGCTTCAGGTGCGCTTATCTGCTGGGATAATTGCCGATGCAGCGCACCTGCGCAAGCTTACGCTGCCAATTAATTTCATTCACTGGCCCGTTCAATAACTCTCCAGACAAGCAGCTTCTGATCCGAATCTCCCATTCGTGGATTCAATTAATCCACTCTATGGCACTTCCGTTCCCCTCCTCGGGGAACGAAGGGTTACTTCTGTAACCTCGAACGTTTTGTCATGATGGAGAAAGCAGGCAATGAAAAAAATAGACTACATTAAGCTATTCTTAAGTCAAAAAAAGAACAAAATCCACTTGCAAATGATTCCACGTGAACTTGGTACAGTATGGCACAATTAAAAACCATTCTTGGCATGCATTTCTCAGCCATGCTACACCGGTACAGCATGTATGTGCATGGCATCTACACTCTGTTGACCTACTGTTAGTTTCTCTATGTGAAAGCACACTATTTTTATGTATTTTTAAAACTAATTAAATAACGCTCTGTTTATAGCAACACTATTTTAAAATGAAGCTGGATCTGTAGTGACTGGCCTGGATCGGCATAGATTAGACTAGTTAAGTAAAAATAAGTATTGACCCTCTATTGGAAAAGGGCTAACAATCACAAATCTTAAAAAAAAAAAATCACAATCTATGTTATGACATTATATACAGAAAGTCAACAGAGGTCATTGTAGTCAACAATGAGTAACTAAACAGGACACAGGTGAGCAAAATAATCGATTACTATTGAAACACTGCATTGTTTTTTGATTAATGTCTAAAACACATAAAAACATTTCTGTTTGTGAATAAAACCACTGTTGTTCAAATGACTCCCTTAGTTTTGTTACTGTGAAACATATATGAAGATTGTTGCACAAAATGGCAATAAGTCTAAACTCTAAAGGTCTGTGGATATGCAGTGTGGTCTGAACAGGCAGCCAAGCACACTGAGCACTTTTAAAGGGAGTCCGCATGAGGGGGAGAGTTATCAGTTGAAGCCTGCGGTGAAGCTTCATATCTGTAAGCAGTGAAGTTGCATCTGCATTCGTTGCAGTGAAATGACTGCTGCTCTTATCGAAATAAGCTCTCGGTGTGAGAATATTCTCAGTGTTTTCTGAAGCCAGGAGCCACTCACAGCCCATTTTACTGCTTTAGCAGACTGACCTGTAGTTGCACGCCGTGTCTGGTAAGCCGTTTGGAGTAAATACGATGTTTACTCATTTAATAGTGATTTTCTCTGAAGGCAGTCTCTCTGATCTAGCCCTGTCCTGTTGCAGACTGTTTTGAAATGCCTGAAATTTTCATGAGCAGGCTATTAAAATGTTTCTGCCTAAAAAGTCAGACTTGTCTACCACAGAAAAACCCACGCAAGTGTGTGTACATATTTTACATCGCTTAAGCAAGAGGTGGCTTTAAAATAAACCCTCGGATATTGAACTGCTCTCTGAAAAAAGCTCTCTGGATTTCATTAACAGCACACTGATTTATTTTTTTTTTTTATATTTATGCAAGACTTCCGTAACCTTGAAATGTTCTTTCAGAGGATCAAGGCCATTTTACACTTGACTTGTTCAAGGATAGCATCTTCAATGTTAGAAATTTAAGAGATAGTTCACCCACAACTGAAAATTATCATCGTTTCCTCAGCCTTGTTCCAAACCTGTTTGACTTTTTTATTCTGTTGAAAACAAAGGATGTTTTGTAAAAAGATGGAAACCTGTGACCATAGACTTTCATAGCATTTGTTTTTAACATAGGCTCATTCTAAAAACGTATCCCGATATACATTTCTGGAGATTGCAAATTATGTAGCAAGAAGTATGTATGGCTGCTGTTCTTTTTTACCACAATGCGATGCAGTATGACGCTGTTCCTTTTTTCGTGTTTATTAGCTGATCTCTTACGTCCGTATGGGTGGCTTACCTACTATTACCAGTTTGTTCAGTTATCTCGCCATGAACGTCAGCGGACTTTAAACACAGAGAGGAGTTGAACATGACAATGGGGTTCAAGTTTAATGTGGAATGGTTCCAGAAAGCAGGTAAGATGAAAACTGAATTCAAAAAATAAAATAAACAAGTAAATAACAGAGTGAGATGTGGTAAAATCTGAAAACGTGGTAAAATTATGGCGAGCACTTTTCTTTTTTGTTTGGCTTTTTTAAAACTGTAGGTTGGGTTCAGGAAAGTGGGTGGGCGGGTCAATCTGTGCTTTTAAAAACACACAAAATTGATTGCATTTTGTCATTCAATCAGTCAAACAGTCAGTCGACAGTGGACTCTAGTGGATTTACCTGAGAACTGCAGGCACAAATTGCACTCTCAAGAGAAATTTGAGATCTAAAAAAGCGTACACAGCAGCCTCCGATTCGCAAAAACTGCAAAAAAAAGTTCCTCCTGGGGTGTATTTGGTGCTTTCCAGGAATGTATAAAGAGGTATGTTTTCAGAATGAGCCTGGGTTGTTTGTTTTTCCTGCATACAGGTTTTTTAGTTTGTTGAACGGAATAAAGAAACTTTTTGGCACCACTAGGGGGGAAGAAAATAGTGAGTAAATTTTCATTCTCCATTAGTGCTGACAAACATATTCTAGATTTTATAAAGAATCAAATTCTTCTTTTAGTTCTGAAGATAATGTTTTAAAATGTTTATATATATATATATATATATATATATATATATATATATATATATATATATATATATATATATATATATATATATATAGTATATATAATGTTGATTGTATCAAAGCAGCTTAACATAGATTTTCTAGTAAATTGAAACTGTGTCAGCCCAGTTTTTAGAGTTAAAGTTCAGTTTAGTTCAGTTTACTTTTCACTGCTGAAAGTCCAAACACTGAAAAGCAAATCCATCGATGCACAGCTCCACAAGTCCCAAAGCAAGCAAGCCAGTGGAGAGGAACAGAACTTCACCATCTGAAAACCAGGTTGGAGGCTGAAAATACTTAGATATACAGATATATACAATCAAGCTGTGAAATTCTGACTGCTATTTTTTGTTTAAAGGTAAATAAAAGCTGAGCAATCATCTTTTTTATAGTCTAATTTGGGAGAAACCAGTCATTTCCTGGTCAAAAAATAATTATCTTGCCGGTTGAAGATATACTGTAGATCTTTACCCCACAACTCTAATTATAACTTAAAAACAGCAACCATGCAAACTAACTTTAACGGTGTAAAACGTCCTTGGCTGTCGCTTCTTGGCCATGCTTAATAAACAATTAATGGTAAAAGAGTAGTGAGGTCCTGCTGGGATGTTATTTAATTCACCCAGGGTTGTTTTTCAGCTTTATATAGACCAGCCACTTTTACTAATACGCCAAGCACCTGTTTGCATTATTTATGGACCACTGGTTCCCACCTGATTTGGTTTTGAATTCGTCCTCTCTGTTTATCTTTTAACATGATTTCCATTGCACCTCTCCCGACTCTCCTGTTCTTTTGTGTACATACGTGTGTCTTTTTTTCTCACCCTCTTAGGTGAAGTACGGACGTTTTGCATTTGTGTGGGATGCAGCTGTGCTGGAGTATGTGGCCATTAATGACGAGGACTGTTCGCTTTACACCGTGAGCAACAATGTGGCTGACAGAGGCTACGGCATGGCGATGCAGCACGGCAGTCCTTACAGAGACATCTTCTCTCAGAGGTACTGTGCGATGAGAGTCTTATTATCCATATGTAGCCGTTCGTCTCTGGGGCCCTGCTGTTATAGGAGGAGTGATTTTTCAAAGGAAAGTTCCATTTAAATGTGGCATTTAAAGTCTTGAGTTTGTGATTTAAAATCAATTTCTCACATAACAGAGAGCGGGAATGCTTGTAACGCAGACTGAGGTGTAATACAGTCAGTTTAACCACCTAGAAAGCAGGTTCTCTGATAAAAAAAAGTGTCTCACTCAGCAGTTGTAGAAATGTCTGAGCTCTCATTTTAAGAAACTCCTTTTTCTATTTCGAGATGGAATCTTGGTCATTAAATGGCAGAATTGGCATAGTCTGATTGGATTCTTTTGGTTAATTTATTGGTGTATTTAAAAGGGTCGCTATAAGCAAAGGTTTAATTAAGCATTTTTACAAGATTGAGATGTTCCCAGAATGTAAGCCCATGTTGTTCTGTTGCAGTATTTGTTCATTATTAATGTAACTAGTCTGTAGCTTAGAATTATTAGTATTTGTTTTAATAATTAAATGTTTATTTTAAAAGCTTAAAGTACATTTTTTATTTATTTATTTATTTATTTATTATTTTAAATCCTTAAAATCAAGTGGTTGGAGCTGTTGTAAGGCATGAAGTTATTACATTTTATTTTTATAAAAATATATGATCCATAAATGATGGGTTCAGAGGCAAAACTAAGTGCTAACTGAAATTCATTCATTTATTTTCCTTCAGCTTAGTCCCTTATTTATCAGGAGTCACCACAGCAAACTGAACCGCCAACTATTCCATGCGGTTATAGTTATGTTTTATGTTTTACATAAAATACATGTTTTACACAGCGGATGCTGTATTCTATTTCTAACCCAGTACTGGGAAACATCCATACACTCTTGCATTCCCACACACACACACTTCCCACTATCCAAGATTTTTGTCTAGAATTTGCATTATTCTCAGGCTCTAATGTTTAAGTTGTTATTTCCTGTTAAAGGCAATGGAAATAAAATATTCTTTGTCATAAATATCAAACAACTGAACCTATAGACATGAGCCTGAGAAAAATGCTCATTTTAAATGAAGATTTTAGATGGCACTTAGGGTACGTTCACACTGCAAGGCTTAGATTTTTTTTTTTTTCTCAGATCAGATTTTTTTTTTGCATGACTGTTCACATTATTGTTATAAATGTGGCCAATATCAGATTTTGCTGTGTGAACAGATCATGGTCCTAAACTGACCCGCATGAATAAAAGTACATTATTCCCCTTTTCACAGACAACCACAGTGTATTTTAATTGTATTAACTGTAAATGGTTGTCCTGCTACTACTAATGTGTATTCTGGCATTTGAATCCTAAAATAAGTCTCTTGTGATTGAAACCACTGATAATTTGTGATTTATGACAACCGCAGTGCACGTCTTTCTGACCACTGGTGAACTCATTAAGGGTTGATAAGCAGCTGCGAACTGAACTGTGAAGGCAGAGTTGGTTTATCTGTGTTTGCAGAGTTATTTAATTTTACTTTGTTATAAACAACAAGCACATGCAGAACAGGGGTTTGGGTGATTGAGCACCTGCCCTTTTTTAGGAGAGAAAGTTCCCCTAAATAAAACTGTACCCTCCTATGCGCACAGATCCCCTATCCGCAACACAGCTCGGTGTTCTTCAGCTTCACGACCAACCCGTGCCCCAATCGTTAACCAGATTGGTCAACAAGCACCAGTTTTGCTTTCAATTTTTTTTTCAAAATAAACAATAAACTATCTGTGCTAAAGTTATTGCCCTGGGTGCTATTCTACTATGCTGCTGAGAAGATGATGTTTTCAGCACAGAATGATGACGCATGTCGCTCAAAGATTATGTAAAAGTCACATGAAGTCCTACATAATCGTTCACACTGTGGTCGGATTGCAAAATATCAGATCTGTGTTTGATTTAATACCACATATGAAAGTGGCACAAATTTGAATTAAAATGATGAGATTCCCTGCGATTTTGGCTGTTCACACTGTCATTACCTGAGTATAAAAATAGATTTGGGCCACATTTGGCTGCAGAGTGAATGTAGCATTAGATAGCTTTTCCATCTGAACTCTTCAAATATAGAAGTTATTGAAAAATACATTTGCAAAATTTTAACTGAAGTTGATATTTTCTAATAACGTGTTAAAGCCTCATATAAAAATGAACTGTATGGATCATCAATCAGCAATCCACATTATACTTGACATTAATATGCATAACATAGGCTTATATCGGAGAGTTTACATTACTTCCATTTGTGGCAGACAACAAAATGTCAGTGTTCAAGATAACAGTTTAAAATAAATGTGTTCCAATCAGCCACCGCTTCCCCTGCTAAAATTCTCAAAATTACCAGGTCTTTTTTTTTCTTACTTTTTGCTGGAAAATGACCCACATAGTTTATTTGTATGTACTACAGTGCATGTGCTAAGCAGTGTGTTGCCTGAAATCCACTGGAGGTTTCCCATTGAAATAAAAAAAGCTATTAATTGACTTCCATTTTAAATGTTTCCCCTGTCATTGTTGAGCCGTGGACCACCATCAACTCCAATTTGAACAGAGCAATTGAAAAAAGTTTTCCTGCAGTTCCTGAATCAATACCAAGGAAATTATACCACAAAAAAAATAAAAAAAAAAAATTTAAAATGTAAAAAATATTATTTGAGAGGCGTTTTTAAAAGCTTTTCAGATTTAACCAGTCAATGGAGCTCAACTCTTCAACTGAAAGGACAAACTCGTTTACCTTATATCTGGAGTTCAAACATATCAACATATGATTCTTAATGGCAAGAACATGTTGTTCTGCTCCACTGTTACAATACGTGGAGCTGAATAGAGATCCACACCTTGTTAAATCGCTCACTCGGAGTGAAATTGGTATATTGAAATGGCAGTATTGTGACAGACTGAGAAAAATATGATAGCATGGAGTGATGGTCCTATTGTTGAAGTAAAAGTCGATATATGCTCTGCGTTTACTCGTGGCCGGGAGTCTAAAGAGAGAAGATGTGAGTACAGTAGCTCAACACAGCCAGCATAAAGCTTGAGAAAAGCAGACTACTGAGAGAAGACAAAGAGAGAAAATAACTGTTAAATAATAGCATATATTCAAAGTGCACCATAATCACTTACATTGTCCTATAGTTCTCTCTAAAATCCTGTTTTAGAGAGTTTTTTTTTTTTTTTTCAAAACTCTTACAGTTATAAGCCACAAATCAACTTGTTCTACACTGTAAAAAAAAAAATATCCCTAAATTAGCAGTTTTCCGTATTTTTTTATTTTTTATTATTCATTAATTTTCTTTTCAGCTTAGTCCCTTTATTAATCAGGGGTCACCGCAGTGGAATGAACCGCCAACTTATCCAGCATATGTTTTACACAGCAGATTCCCTTCCAGCTGGGAAACATCCATACACACTTATTCACATTCACACACTGCGGAGAGTTTTAGCCTACCCAATTCACCTATAGCGCATGTGAGGAAACCCACACGAACATGGGGAGAACATGCAAACTTCATATAAAAAGGCCAACTGACCCAGCCAGGGCTCGAACCTTCCTGCTGTAAGGCGACAGCGCTACACACTGCGCCACCGCGTCCCCCTCCATATTTTGTGATTCATGTTTTTACTCTTATTTACCCCTATTATTTATGCTTTTGAATTGCATTATGGGACATTAATGTGTCTTCCAACAACTTTTAACTTTGAAAAGGTCCAAAAAGTTACTTTTATTAAAAAAAAAGGATTATTTAAAGTGATATAATGTCTGGGTTTGTGTTTTATATTACATTGCAATATATCCTTGTAATAAACTGCCCACACAGTTACTGTTATTTTATAGACTGATTTCTCTATATATTATTTTTTACACATAATATTATTTTAGACTGCTAAAATATCAATAAAAGTTACTGTCTTAAGTCGACAGAGCACAGGTCTAGGTCCCATCATGCAATTCACAATGGTAAAAAAAATTTGAAAACACTTCTAAGCACAAAATACAGAAACTGTTAATTAACAGATCATTTTTACAATGTATCTGCTGTTTCTATAGAACTAAATGTTTTTTTGTGTCAAGAGGCTGCACAGATTTGTAATGAAAACTGGTAACCTGTAAAACTATTTATCAGGAGTGGTCAATATTTATCATCAGCTTTTTTTATGTTGTGTGAGGCAATATTATTAATTTTGTGACTTAAATCCTCATGAATAATGGTATTCTGAATCCTTTTCAAAAATGTACTACTACACTTTAAGTACCTATTTAGACTTCTTTTAAAATGCCAATATCTGTTTGTTAAGTCACTTGTTAAGTGATGTATGGAATACTGTTTCCTGGTTCAAGCTGCTACTCATCCACTGTATGGCCATTTTTAGTCCTATCACACATTAAAGTGAATTTTATATTAAATAATGGTGTACACAACAGTCTCTGGACTTGCTGCATCACAAATGTGTAAAAAATTAATCACTTTCTGGCCATCTGATTTTAGGCATTGATATGTGTTGCGATCGTGATTTTCCAAAGTATTAAATCACTTTGTACACGTCTGCTATTACCTTTTCAGTCCTGCCACACTGTAAAAAATAAAAAGTTGAGTCTACTTAAAAAATTAAAGCAACTGGCTGCAAAGAAGTGTTCAGTTTAATAAGCTTTAGTGGTTGAAGTTGTGGCAAATTATTTTTTTAAGTTGACTGACAAGGCTATTTTAAGTCAAGTATACTTAAATATTATATGGAATATTAATTATATTAATATCACTGAATATTAATAAAACTCATTTTTTGCAGCCAGTTGCTTTAGAATTTTAAGTTTACTCAACTTCTTATTTTTTACAGTGGTAAACACTCAAATTAAGAAATCAAAATTCAAAGTCTTCTCCACTGATTTTTTTACTTTCATTGAACAAACAGTTCCAAACATGCAATTAAATCGTTTTTTATGAGTAAATTCAACTCTGA